ATATATATATATAAAACGCTGCCACTTGAGTTAAGGAGGGGACTTTTTTCTCTCCTTTCAATAATATAAAAAAAGTCCGGTCTTCACGGTTCAAAGTTAAAGAGTAAACAATTTATGTTTTAAAATGTGCAATTTTTAATTTTTAAATAATAATCTAAATAAAATAAATTTATAAAGTTAAAGATTAAAAAATATATATTTTAAAATTAGTGAATTTTTTAAAAACGAAGTATTTAATTTCTTAAGAATAAAGAAATCTGAAATTGTGAAGGAGTTTTTTTAAAAAAAAATAGTTTATAGCTCCTATTTTTTTGGAGGATTGTCTTAAAGTGCCAAAGGCATATTATGATGATTCCACTTGGCTAAATGAGAATCCTTTTTCTTCTCCTTTTAATTATAATAGATAGATGGATAATTTGGAGAGTGTGATTTAGCTCTAAGGCCGTGTCACTAAAAACAGTACCCCAGTTTGTTTTGCATATTTTTGGAATTTCCATAAAAACTACACACACCTGGAATTGTTTAAGCAAAAACTAAACATTTTGATAAGAAAAATTCGGATGTTTATATGACATCTTTGAGTAATTACTAATAGGTTGGAGGATGGGTATTTGGATGAAAGTTTTGATGCACCTCCAAAGGAAGAAAGAATAATAGAGAGTCTCATATCCTTAGATGGAGCTAGACTTGCAATCCTGCGCTCGACTGCTCAATACAATCAACACCCGCCAATCTCTTCCAAAGGGGAAGCAACTCCATCTTGTTTTCCTCAAAAGAGGCATCCTCAACTCTGCTCTCACAATAGCCAATCGCCTTCTTCAGATGTACGCTAAGTGTGGACAAATGACCGATGCAAAATTACTGTTCGACGAAATGTCTCAGAGAAATTGCTTCACTTGGAATACCATGATTGAAGGGTACATGAAATGGGGAAATACAAACAACTCTCTGGACTTGTTTCGTTCGATGCCTTCCAAGAATGAATTTTCTTGGAATGTAGTCATTCTTGGCCTTGTCAAAGCTGAGGAGTTGGGTGTTGCTAGAAGACTATTGCATGAAATGCCACGTAAGAACGAAATAGTTTGGAATTCACTTATTCATGGGTATGCTAAAACGGGGTTCCCTGGTGTGGCTTTATGCTTATTTAAGGAGTTTATAGACTGGGATTTTCATGAAATGTGTGGTACATCACGTATAGATTCGTTTGTTTTGGCAACTGCATTAGGGGCTTGTGCTGACACGAGAGCTGTCGATTTAGGGAAGCAAATTCATGCTCGTACTATAGTCGATGAAGTTGAAGTTGATTATGTGTTGGCAAGTTCTTTAGTTAACATGTATGGAAAGGGTGGTGATTTGGATAGCGCGAGTTACATTTTAAACAGAATGCAGAACCCTGATAACTTTTCCTTGTCAGCATTGATATCAGCATATTCAAACTGTGGTAGAATGGATGATGCTAGAAAGATCTTCAATCTTATAACTGATCCTTGTATTGTATTATGGAATTCCATGATAGCAGGGTACGTGGCAAGCGATAAAGTGTCAGAGGCATTATTGCTTTTTGAGGAGATGCACAGAGAGGGAGTTATAGCGGATTCCTCTACATTAGCTAGTGTATTGAATGCATGTGCTAGTGCACATTCCCTTAAAAATTGTTTGCAAATGCATGCTTATGGTTGTAAGTTTGGACTGCTAGATGATCTTATCGTTGCTAGTGCTCTAGTTGACACATATGCTAAATGTGGACGTCCTGATGAAGCTGCCAATGTTTTTAATGAACTCAAAATACATGACACGGTCTTGCTAAATTCTATGATTACCATTTATTTTAGTTGCTACAGAATTGAAGACGCGAGACAATTATTTGAGTCAATGCCCTATAAGAGCTTAATATCTTGGAATTCCATGTTAATTGGTCTTAGTCAAAATGGTTGTCCAGTTGAAGCACTGGATCTTTTCTGCAGGATGAATAGGATGGATTTTAAGATGGACAAATTTAGTTTTTCAAGTGTGATCAGTGCCTGTGCAAGCATTGCATCAGTTGAACTTGGTGAACAGATTTTTGCCAGAGCTGTTATCATCGGTATTGATTGTGATAAAATAATTTCTACCTCCTTGATTGATCTTTACTGCAAGTGTGGTTTTGTTACTGATGCCAGGAAGCTCTTTAACCAAATGATGAGATCCGACGAGGTTTCATGGAATTCTATGTTGATGGGTTATGCTACAAACGGTTATGGAAATGAAGCATTAAATCTATTCCACGAAATGAGAAGTGCAGGTGTTTTGCCAACAAATATCACATTTATTGGAGTCTTGTCTGCCTGTGATCATTGTGGTCTACTGGAAGAGGGAAAAAGATGGTTTTATTCAATGAATTATGATTACCACATTGATCCAGGGATTGAACATTACTCCTGTATGGTAGATCTTTATGCACGAGCAGGATGTCCTGAAGAAGCAGTAAACCTAATTGAAAAGATGCCATTTGAGGCAGATTCAGGCATGTGGTTATCCATTTTGAGAGGATGTGTAGCTCATGGTAATAAGATACTAGGAGAGCTGGTGGCCAAACGCATTATAGAGCTTGATCCTGAGAATTCAGGTGCTTTTGTGCAGTTATCAAACATATTTGCTACATCTGAGGACTGGGAAAGATCTGCTTTTGTCCGGAGGCTGATGACAGAAAAGAAAATCTATAAAAGTTCTGGTCGAAGTTGGAGTGATATGTAAGAAGCGCATAGGTTCAGGTCTCTGGATAGTTATTATAGCAGTGGGAGAAGTGCTGTGAGGTTAGTTTTTTATTTTTTAGCCACCCACTTTAATATCAGTTAAAACTATTAATTGGTTTCTTTCTGGCTTGTGCATCTTCTTGTAGCGATGTTTTTCTTCTAATCTTATTGCATTATTTTCTAAGCACATCCCATTAGAACTTAGAAGGGCTTTTCCGAGATTTTGCTGTTTGAATCTGAGATGCCTTGATTTAGCCCATAAAAGACTTGCCACTGTCAGCTTCCAGCTTTTTCGTTCAAGTTCGTAGAATATATTTGCTCATATGAATTAATATCTTTCTATAAGAATTGATCATATTACTATTTCAGGTTCTTGAAATCTTGGAATTGTCTAGATGCATAGATGAGGAGTTCTTAGCTGTTCCCATCACTAAGGGAGATAAAAATGAGTTTCAGAAATTTGCCGGGGGACTCTATACGACTACAGTTGAGGTATCCTAGACTGTTTCAGTCATACACGTGGTTTGGCAGTTCTTAACGGTGTTTCTATCTGTCATTCATTATTGGCAGGCTTTTATTCCTAATACTGCCCATGGCATCCAAGGTGCTACTTCACATTTTTTAGGCCAGAATTTTGCAAAAAGTTTAAATGAATTTTGAAAATGAGAAGGGAGAGAAGTCTATGGTCTCGCAGGACTCATGTGCCTATACGACCAGAACGTTAGGAATACGGAGCTATTTATAGACTGTCTTTATATTTTTCAACTTTGGTGTTCAAGCTAATTTTCACTTCTTTTCTGGTGTGGTGACAGATTGGCGTAGTGATCATGGGGATGATAAAAGCCTGGTCTTACCTCGTATAGTAGCAGCAACTCATGTAATTGTTGCTCCTATTCCCTTCAATGGATGCTGACACTAAAGGGATCTTTGATGCTTGTGTTGCCATGGTTAAAAACTTGAATGTATCAGGTATTCATGCTAAGGCAGACTTAAGAGACAACTCTTAACTGGATGGAAATATTCACTGGTAGAATGGAGGGGGGTTCCTCTTAAGATGATTGAACTTGGACCAAACGGCCTTGCAAACAACCAGGTAGGAGTTGTAGTTTCTGCCCTTTCTTTCTACTTGCCAGTTGTTTAAGAAAGTCAAATAAGACAGGAGAACAGAAATAATCCGTTTTTTGTTGTTAAATTGTTATTTTTGGATACCGAACTTGATGCTATATATTTACTTATGCTTTGTAATAACTTTCACAGGTAAGAGCTGTTCGACACCACATTGCAGCCAAAACAGATATTTGTGTGGCTAATCTAGTCGAACAAGTAAAAGATATCCTCGCCTCTGTCCAATAAAATCTATTTGCTGTTGGAAAATAAAAGCGAGATGCTTGCCTTCAGGTTGAAAGAACCTGGGATGAATTTGTGGAAGCACTGAACAAAAAGATATTGGTCTTGGCTCCTTGGTGGTTATGAGGTATGCATATTGGCTTGGATTATGTGATTCTGAGAACGCCAATTAATGTAATCCTGAATCATTAGAAAATATTTAGGGTGCCGAATCAAATCTAGAGTTTCCTTGAGATTCTTAGTCCCTGTTCAAACTTCAAAAGATACTACTAGTTTCCTAGCACTTTCATAATGTAGCATACAGAATAAATTGAAAAATATGAATGCAAATCTCACATATCTTTTCTTTGGATGAAATGCAAATATTTCTGTAGCGATGAACTTGCAGTATTTTGATCATATGATGCTTATCATACACACACTGGCAAAGATGCGTACGCACACACACACATAATACAGTAAGACGGACATAGACGATTTCTGAGTTAATATATGATGCAGTATGCCACAACTGCTACAATGACAATTCATTACTGCTTGCTTTCATTTTTAGCTTGATATATAAATCCACCACCTGTAAAGACCGAATCCATAAACTATTGCGTAAACCACCGATCTGACTGGGTAGAATTTAAACCTGCAGATAGTCAACATTCAACAGTTAAGAAAATGTGTTACAGCGAATGAATTTCGACCGAATTGCAAAAAAGTGTGATCTCATAACTTAGAGGTCATGCTGCAGGGTAATTTGTATTTCTATTTACTCTTTTTCAGGTGGACAGTTTTGTAGTTATCAAATAACTGAATTTGGGACTAACTTAACCCTCAAAGCTAGCTTATGAGGTGAAAATTGTCCGAGAATATATAAGGAGATAACCCATTCTCTCACCCAAAGATATTTAACACCTCCCTCACGTACAAAACTTGAGTAAACCAAGAATATGATTAGTTTTGGCTCTTATATCATGTCAAGAAGATAAAAATAGGTTTAACGGGGATGCTCCAAACCTCCCCCCATCACGTTGGGGGCTAGATATTTAGAGCGCGAACAGTATAACGTCAATGTCCAACATTGGATAAACCAAAAATAGGAATTCTAACTTTGATACCATGATAAAAAAACAATATCGAGTTTAACTTAACCCCAAGAACTAACTTTTTAGGGTTGAGTTAGGGCAGTGTTCACTTTTTTACCATAGTTAATCGATAACACGTGTTATTACGTAATAGAGAAATATATTGAGGCCTCAATTTTTTTTCGCAGACCATATCCATACTTCACTTCCAAGGTTCTACCTCAAATGCATGGCCTCAATGTTTTCGCAGATTTGGTCGTGGTATAAGTGATTGATCAAGTTTGAGCATGCCCTCAAATTATAAATTCAACAAGTTCAAAATTTTTAGTACTTTCATAAGTACCTCTAGAGGGCAAAAGTAGTACTACTATATATCTTTTACAGCGAATACAAAAACAGAAAGGGAGAACATATCACCTGGTAGAAGTGAAGGGCCCGGGAGATTTGTTGGTGAAGTCATTCACAGTGACAGGGGTGCACCAATGTGAGACACTACGGTCAAAGAATTCCCAATCAGGTAAAATAACACCACATATAGCCAGCATTCCAAACAAGTATGTTGCCACCATCTTGTAGAAAGACCGAGTGCAGAGACCAATCAACACTATAATTGCTGCCAAGCAGCTCATCGATGCCTGAAAAATGGTCTCGTTGTTCATCATGCTAAATACTTCAAGCTCCGCCTCCTCTTTCAGAAAACAGCGCTAATGAGCAAGAAAACAGTTATGCTAAGGTGTGACGACTTTTCGTGCAACTGCTATGACCTTGCTTCTTGCCTTATCTTGCTTAGTAAAGCAACCTTTGGGACCTGTGTTTCTACTAAGTACTACTTTTAGCTCTGTCTTGAATATTTCTCACTGCAGTTATTGCGTAAGGCAAAGAATAAGAGGAGGAAGAAGATGATGATTTTTCACAGAGGAGATAAGATATTGCTGTGGAACATACCGACTGAGTGATTATTGCTGGATATAGCTAAACGAGGGAGTTGGTTGAGACTGCATTTATTACACTGCATTTCTGAGTTGGTATAATTTGTATATCAAATAAACTGGCAATTAATCTGAATATCTTTTTCTTCTTTTCCTTATCTGTATACAAGTACAATATAATCCTGTTTTAGACATTCTCCTCAATACTTTACATTATTACAATTTACGTGGTATAGTTTGCAAGTTAAATTTTGTTCATTCAGACAAATCTTCTTTTGTCACGGAATATAGGGGCCAGATTCCTAAGGGACCAAGAAAATTCAATAATCATATCTAGAAAATTTCTTATCTTTCGCCTGAATTAATTAAGCTTAAAACGCACTAAGACATCTAATTAAAGAGTCCAAATTAAGTAGTTTGCAGGTTGAACATATCTTCATTAGCATTACAACTCTCACTGTTATGATCCAAATTAAGCTAGTTGCTAACTCGTTCACCTTTTTCTTTTTAGTAAGATGTCCACTTTTTATTTCATCCTTTCACGATAGCCAACTATATTAGAATAATTGAATTGACCAACTACGCTTTGTAAGAGAGATACCAATCAAAGTCTCCTATTGAGATCGTCTATAACCTTATATATAGACAGTAAGGGAAAATCCTCACATCTATGGAACGAAATGAGATGTAGTATACCTGTAACGAGTAAATTTTGACACTATCAATTTAGAGTATTATGTACTTCTCAGATCATTATTTACTAAAGTGAAAATTACGAAGAGAAGAAAATACCTAGTCTGAAATAGGTAATTGATTCAAAGTGAACTCAAGTCCCAAAAGCCAAATGTTGCGGCTTTTAAGTACGCTGGCTTAGTTTTAGCTAGGGCTGTCAAATTTGGCCCAAGCCCAAATGACCCATCCAATCGTAAAAATTGCATGGGGCGCCCTATTTGGTCGCCCCCATTTAACCTATACCCATTTTTTTAAAAAGTTTTAACTTGTAGTCACTTTTAAAACAACTTCAGCCCCCTTTCTCCTCTTCCTTCTCCTTCGATTTCTTCTCCTTCTTCTTCTTCTCCTTCTCCTCCTCCTCCTTCTTCTTCTTCTTCTTCTTCTTCTTCTTCTTCTTCTTTCTTCTGCTGCTGTTGGTGCTGCTATGAAACTTCAGTTCATGGGATGATTGCCATAAGTATGTTTATCAGATTATTTAAAAATAAATTATAAATAATTACATAAGTTAGTAGACAATAATTTGTGAATATTTTCACGTACGGGAAGTTTAAGGTCACACTTAGTGATTCTTTTCATGATAATTCTGTTCTTTTCACGTTTATTTGTTTCCAAAATTTTATGATTTAGATACTGTTGGCAATCTGATTATTTTATAGTAGTCTGATTATAACAAAACTAATGAAACGTTCTCTGCTGCATTGGTCTTTTCACTCCCCACTCTCCACCATAACAAAATGTTTCCACTATATCTCAGGACCAAAAAACTTCAGCTTATTTAGTGCTGAAGTTTTTACAAATGAACTAAATAACTTCAGCATCTTCTGCTGAAGAACAAGCTTTATGACAAAACTAATGAATCCAGCACAAAAAAACTTCAGCTTATTTAGTGCTGAAGATTTTACAAATGAACTAAATAACTTCAGCATCTTCTGCAGAAGTTTTTGAAAAAGCTTTATAACAAAACTAATGAATCCAGGACAAAAAAATACTTCAGCTTTTAGTGCTGACGTTTTTACAAATGAACTAAATAACTTCAGCAGCTTCTGCTGAAATTTTTGAAAAAGCTTATCCAGGATAAAAAAATTTCAGCTTATTTAGTACTGAAGTTTTTATAAATGAACTAAATAACTTCAGCATCTTCTGCTGAAGTTTTTGAAAAAGCTTAATGACAAAACTAAAGAATCCAGGACAAAAAAACTTCAGCTTATTTAGTGCAATTACAAACAAAAACTTTAGCAAATAGAGAACAAACTTCAGCTACTATGCTTAAGATCAACAATTACAAACAAAAACTTCAGCAAATAGATAACAAAACTTCAGCTACTATGCTTAAGCTTCAGCAAATAGAGAACAAAACTTCAGCTACTATGCTTAAGTTCAACAATTACAAACAAAAACTTAAGCAAATAGAGAACAAAACTTCAGTTACTATGCTTAAATTCAGCGATTACAAACAAAAACTTCAGCACACTTGGTTCAGCACACTTGCTACTTCAGGCCCGTCTACTAGAATGCTGAAGTTTTGCGTGATTGTCTTTGCTACTTCAGCCCCGTATGCTGAAGCTACGCGAAAAAGCGGGTACGCTTGCAACTTTTTTTTGCAAAGCGGGCACAAGTTAAAACGTGACCCAAAAAGCGGGTATAGATGCAAATGCCCCCAAATTAATTCATGAATAACTTTGCAAAAATATCTTAGAAATAATTTTTTGTTTGTTTGTTTTATACGTTATATATGACCATAACAAAAGAAAAGAAGTATTATTTAGTACTTATACAATTCATAAGAAAATAAGTTTGGTAAGAGTTAGACGGGTTGGGTTATGATCCAAATTTTAGAAGTAACTTTAGGACAAATCATTTATTGACTCAGCCTATTTTGACCTCCCCAAAATCGGCTCAACTCGCCCATTTAACACCCCTAATTTTAGCCCTTGACTTTGGAAAATCACTAACATTGATTTGGTACTTAAATATATATATATATATATATATATATATATATATATATATATATATATATATATATATATATATATATGAGAGACCAACGAAACCAAATCGTCCCTGTACGTTGTCTTCTTTACCGTCGTCCTCTACATCTTTAATTTTTTCATAGATTTTATCTAATATATCTTGTTATTTATTATTTTTTGGTCTTTATTGATTTATATACTCATCATCATCCAGCCACTCATACCGAGTGCCCACGCTCCACCATGCATAAAGTATAAAATTTACAATTACTCTCTTTCATTTATGTTATCTTTGAATATTCGAAATCAGTTACATCTCTTTTATGACGTTCCCTGCATTTAAATTATATAAATAATTTAATTACTTCTTTCGCTTCATTTTAAGTGATTTTTTAGCTCTTTTCATATTATACATATTAATGATTTTACCTTTTAGCATTAATTAACAATAAAATTGATCATATTAACCTTAATTTGATCATTGAAAATATAACAAACTACTCCTAGGCTCTTTACTCTAAGGGCAAATTTGGAAAGAAAAAGTTAAATCTTTCTTTGTCATGACCCAAAATCCAACTAGTTGTGATGACAGCTAACCCAACCCGCTAGCTAAGCCAATTAACAACTAACACGTTCCAATAGCAATTTAGTAAAGCAATTAAGTAAAGAAATATCTAAATGTGATACATTCCCCCAAAGATTGGTAGTACGAATCATGAGTTTCTAAGATTAGAGTTTACAAAGTTGGTATGAAATAAATACATCATCTGTTCAAAATGTACATAAACAGATTTCAATAATCCAAGGCTACCATGAACAAGAGGCAACTACAACCGGAACACAAGTATATCTTCTAATCCAGCTCTCATCGAACACAGCAACATCAACAACCAACATCTGCACGCAAGGTGCAGAAGTATACTATGAATACAACCGACCCCATGTAGTCGATAAGTAACAAACTTAACCTTAGGTCGAGAGTAGTGACGAGCTGAAAAAAGGTCGGGTCCAACATCCAATAGCCAACAACATTTCATAACAACGTAAAGCAAGTAATAAAAGAGCTAACGCAAAGATAACAAGCTCAACTTATTCATAGTTCCCGAAAATAGTTCCGCTTTTCAAGTATATCAGTGAAAATCCAAGTCTTTTACCGAAATTATCAAAAATATGAAGAAGTTCGAAAATTGTAATTTTTTCCAAAAGCTTTCCACGGTAAATGCTTCATTTTCAAATGGCATGAGGAAAATATATCTCTATGCCTATATGTCAATATGTGTAAAAAGTCATGAATGACGTGATACCGTATACCATGAGGAAAATGCATCTCTATGCCTGTATGTCAATTGTGCATGTCAAATGCGATGCAACTCAGTGATAAAACCATATGCATATTCTCAGAGTATCAATTCACTCCTCCCAGTCACTCAGTCCCCACAGCCACTCAGTCCTCACAGTCACTCAGTCCTCCAAATCACTCGGCACTCGACACTCGGCACTCGCACTTAGTAGGTACCTGCGCTCACTGGGAGTGTGTACGGACTCCGGAGGGGCTCCTTCAGCCCAAGCGCTATAACAAGCCAATCAGGGCATAAATCAGTAAAACATATTGCGGCGTGCAGCCCGCTCCCATCATAAGTCAATAAAACATGCTGCGGCGTGCAGCCCGATCGCATCACCATCAGGCCCTCAGCCTCACTTAGTCATCAATCTCTCTGATCTCTCGGGCTCTCAATGTCATAAAAAATCAGCCCAAAAATAATGATGTGATATATCAATAAATGGCAACAGCAACTGAGATATGATATACATATGAATACGTATGACTGAGTATGTAAATGCAATGTAAGCTGGTAACTCAACAACATAAATGACCTTAGTGGCTCCCAAAAGGATAAGCATGTAGCCTAGACATGGTTTCTAACATGGGTCACAGCTCAATGGCTCTAATACCAAGAGATTTCATGGTTACAAATACGATCACTACACAGTACCACAGAAATAACGAAGTCACAATTCACACGGTGCACGCCCACACGCCTGTCACCTAGCTTGTGCGTCACCTCAACACCAAATACATAATGCATAATTCGGGGTTTCATACCCTCAGCACTAAGTTTAGAAGAGTTACTTACCTCGAACAAGCAAATTCCAATACCGAGCAAGCCAAGCGATGCTCCAAAAATGCCATCTCGCGCGTACCGGCCTCTGAACGGTTCAAAACTAGCCAAAAGCAACTCAAATACATCAAACAATGGCAAAGGAAGCAAACCCAATTGATAAAGGTCGAATCTTTAATCAAAAGCCCAAAATCGGCCAAAAAGTCAAAACCCGGGTCCGCGCCTCAGAACCCGATGAAACTTACAAAATCCGATAACTCATTCAATTACGAGTCCAACCATACTAGTTTCACTCAAATCCGACCCCAAATCGATGTTCAAAACTCAAAAATTCACATTATGAAACTTTAGGC